GGTTGCAATTATATGAAATGTCCAGAATAGAAAAACCCATAGAGACAGGAAGCAGATTGGTGGTTGCTTAGGAGGGGAAGCTGAGGGAAGTGAGAGTGACTTAATGGGGATGGAGTTTCTTTGGGAGTAATGAAAATTTACTAAAAATGACAGTGGTGATAGTTGCATATCCCTTTGAACATCTAAAAATCACTCAATTGTGCAATTTAAATGAGTTAATTGTCAGGTGTGTGAATTATATCTCAATAAAACTGTTATTAAAAAAGCAAAATCTCTAAGTAAAAAAATAGTTTTAGAGCAAGCCTTTGTAAAAATAACTATGCTTAAAGGAAGTTTTAAAATAAACATGATATTACCATCTAGATATCTTGAACCATAAGCACATTCTGGAAATATTCCTCTCAAATACGTGATGCAGGACACGGAAACCGCTAGGAGCCTCTTCACCAGCATCAAGGACTGCTGCTCAGTCGGAATCTTGCTGGGAAATACCAATTCACTCTAAATTCAAAGAAAACGAGACACTTCATTTACTAAAGGGAAGTCTTTCTGAAATTGTAGACCTAATCTTGCAAAAGCTCCGTGCTTTCCCCAAGAATTTCTAACCTAGTAAATAGTCCGCAGGAAGCAGTGTGGCTTCTGTGATAGGAAGGTGCCTCCAGGCAGCAGCCTCAAGGCCATATAAAAAGCACTCACTGGCCCTAACCAGTTTGGCTCAGTGGGTAGAGCGTCGGCCTGCGGACTCAAGGGTCCCGGGTTCGATTGTGGCAGAGGCATGTGCCTTGGTTGTGGGCACATCCCCAGTAGGAGGTGTGCAGGAGACAGCTGATCGATGTTTCTCTCTCATCAATGTTTCTAATTCTCTATCCCTCCCCCTTCCTCTCTGTAAAAAATTCAATAAAAAATATTTAAAAATAAAATTAAAAAAGCACTCATTGCACAGACAGAAAACACTGTGCAAGGCGAGGGCTGTGCAAAGATGGCAATCTTACCTTTGTGGGGCCATGAACATCCGTTTTTTAGGAGTGGACACTATGAATGATAATTTCATCAGAGCAACAGAACCTAATGTGAACTGACCTTGAACTGGCCATTGACCACGAGGCATCCACCATCCAACAGGATTTTCCATTCATTCAAAATAGTTTAGCAAAAAAATCTTCATTTCTTAAAACATGGAGTTTTCTGATTTCACTAAACCCTCACTCAAACAGTTGGCTCTAATTTTCAAATATAAAAATAGCTGAGACTTAAAGACACAATAAAATTAGATAAATTAATATGTATTAAAATATAAACAAATAAACAAAAGAACTCATACCAGGGGTGTTCCCTGCAGTTGTGCAGTGGCCATCTTCTGAGAAGTATTTTCTCTAATTCAACCTTGAAATATAAATACAAGCTTTAACTTCAGACCTTGTTTTTTACTCTATTCTAATTTACTACCTACAAAGGCAGGAAGAATGATAGGTGGCTAAATGAGGGGATTCCTTTACTTAAAAATGGAATCTTCAAAAACATTCCTTTTGCCCTATTTTGTAAGGTCCTAATTTTAAGCCATTTTACTAGCAAGCCTCACATAAAATGGGTTAAGAAAGCTCTTTAAAAGAGCTTTTTTTTTGGGGGGGGGGTGAGGGGGGGAGTTCCACAGGTTTTAAGTAGAATTGAGGAGAGGAGGAGGAGGAGGGAGGGAGAGAGGGAGGGAGAGAGGGAGGGAGAGAGGGAGGGAGAGAGGGAGGGAGAGAGGGAGGGAGAGAGGGAGGGAGAGAGGGAGGGAGAGAGGGAGGGAGAGAGGGAGAGAGACGTCGATTGGTTGCCTCCCCCAGGGACGCGCCTTTGGCCGGGATCCCTACGGTGCGTGGGTAGACGCTCTAACCACTGAGCAACCGACCCGGGCTCAAAGACCTTTTAAGAAAAGCATAATCTCCTATTTTTTTCTTCACTTAATAGTATTCAAGCATTAACAACGTTGTACAGGTAGGTACTAGGGATTGAAAAACTGCCCTTGCCAAACCCTGTACAACAATCTTTTAATTTTTTGTTTTAAATTTGTAGTTTCAAAATAAGCGAGTCCGGTAACGTTCCTTCACTGAGCTTGTAGTCCGGCTCTGGAGAGAAGCCTACTCTGTGGAACAACCATAAAAGGCAGACAGAAAATACCCTAGAGGTTTTTTTTTTGTTTGTTTTTTACGGAGTCTGGTTTCTCAATGATAACTTTGTCATTTTGCTGTTTCCATTCTTTTTCGGCCCCAACTTCATTTTTTCTCATCAGACAATTCAACTAGAAAAGTTCACAGAAGAGTCTATTTACTGTAAACATTTAAATTTCTCCTGAGGAAGCCTGGACGAGCCGTGAGGTAACCTATTTTCAAAGACCTCTAACTAAGTATACATTCCCCCCCCCCCCCCCCAATGTTTCGCCTTTAAGACTCTAAGAAACTTAAAAGTAAGCAGCCGGTAACAGAAAAAGAGATTTAAAAGCAAATATTACTACTACTAATAAAATTAATAAAGGAAAACAGACACAAACATATATATTACAAAACGTCTGAGGGACCAGTAACCAGGAGAGCACCGCGCGAAGCGCGAAGCACGCTCTCTGCCCAACGCGCATGCGCTTCCCTTCAACGGTTACCGGAAGAAGCGCCCGGAAGAAGCCTTTGACCCCCAGCGAGGTCAGCTTTCCCGCCAAGAGTAGCGCAAGGCAGGCTGGGAACCCCAAGAACCTGGTGCCGCATCTCCATGAGCAAAGCCATGTGCCCGAGGAGGGGAAGGTTAAGTACGTGCATGGGCAAAACGTTGCCGGTCTGCACAGATTTCCTGCAGTGACCAAAGTGTCCTCAACCTCCATTTAATTAGTCACAGTAATCTCGGGTCATTTTCTTTGATTTTGTTATTGAATCTACCCTATAGTGCATTACTACCTTACAGTCTCATGTGACTTCCGGGAAGTCAGTTTGCTCTAGCAATCTCTGACTTAAGATGGTTCTCCTGTGCCGTCTACCTGGCGACAGCAGATAGCTTAGAATATCATTAATGTCTCATTTAGAAACAAAATAATAAAAGCAGAGCCAGTAGGCAATTTGAGATTATCTAGCAGTACAAACTTCTTAGATTACCGATTGTTATATGTCGAATAAATTGGTTTAGAGGTGTAAACATATCATAATTATTTATAATTTTGATATGTCTGTATTACCAGTTAGAAAACAGTGACTCCATATATGGAAAGATTTGCCCAGAGTCAAATAGGAGAGGAATGGAGACTAGAACCCTGTTTTCAGGGTCAAAAATAGTGAAAATCCCCTGGCATAAAAATTACTGTGGTTGCCGAAACCGGTTTGGCTCAGTGGATAGAGCGTAGGTCTGTGGACTGAGAGGTCCCGGGTTCGATTCTGGTCAAGGGCATGTACATTGGTTGTGGATACATCCCCAGTAGGGGGTGTGCAGGAGGCAGCTGGTCGATGTTTCTCTGTCATGGACGTTTCTGGCTCTCTATCCCTCTCCCTTCCTCTCTGTGGAAGGCCTAACCTCTAACTGAAAGTTTGCATTTATTTTATGTAATTATTATTACCACAATATTAGCAATACTTGTAATTTTACAACCAAAAGAAAACTCAGATATTTTTATATAACCTTACAGTTTTTGCAGATATTTTCAAATATGCTCATTACTACTTCAAATTTAAGATAATTATTGACTCTTGTTATTTAATGCATTTATAAAGAAGCATGTACAGTATGTTACTATAGCACAAATTTATATTTTAACATTTTAATAATCATCTTCCTTTGCAATCCTATATGTTTTAGTTTATGCACTTAAGAACATTATTCTGAGAAGGTGTCCATAGGCTTCATTAGACTGACAAAGGTAAAGAACTCATATTTTTATTCCATTTACAGTGCTTGAAAAATTGTGGGAAAAATAAAAACAAAAGAGTACTCGAGAGACTTATGTAATACTTTAAACAATAAAGAACTTAAAATTTTAAAAAAGAATACTCAACGAAATACCTTTTTTAAAAATACGTTTTTATTGATTTTAGAGAGAGGGAGAAAAAGAGAAACATCGATCAGCTGCCCTTTGCATGTCTCAGTGGGGGACAGAGCCTGAACCCAGACATGTGCCTGACCCTGAATTGAACCTGCGACCTCTTGGTGCGTGAGGTGACACTCAACCAACTGAGCCACACTGGCCAGAGCTTAACTAAATACTTTTTAATCATAATGTTTCTCTATACGTACATTTGATGTTAGTTATATAGTATAACCATGCTTTTATAGTTAGCAATTCTTGTTCTTTAAAATGTGCTTTATGGGGGAAAATGTACTTTATGGAGAGGGATTAAAAGATAGCAGAATTAGCCGAAACCGGTTTGGTTCAATGGATAGAGCGTCGGCTTGGGGACTGAAGGGTCCCGGTTCGATTCCGGTCAAGGGCATGTACCTTGGTTGCGGGCATATCCCCAGTAGGGGGTGTGCAAGAGGCAGCTGATCGATGACTCTCTCTCATCGATGTTTCTAACTCTCTATCTCTCTCCCTTCCTCTCTGTACAAAATCAATAAAATATATATTAAAAAAAAAGATAGCAGAATTAGTTTAAGTTCAGTTTAAGATATACTATTGACATCATCCTGCACACATTTTATGTTGTAGGCATGAGCTTATAAAATTTAAAGTTCTTGCTGCCTTTTCAGAACCAATCTACATATCTATTGCAGTTGTGAGGAAAGATCAATCTGAATTAGATAAATATGAGTAATGGAATATTAAATATTAAAACAAATGCAGTTTGGTTATTTTATTCAGGTTGACATCATTATTTGCTCCAAAAAGGTCCTGGCCAATTTGCTAATAGTTTAATTCTGGTCAAGGGCACACCCCCTACTGGGGATGTACCCACAACCAATGTACATGCCCTTGACCAGTATATTAATTATTGATCACTAAATAATTCTTAGAAAGTGTGTAAAAAACAGTCTCTTAAGCATTTGTCTACTATAACTTCATTTAAAACATTTATTGAAACTTTTATGTGCAAAGATACAATTTGAGCCACATTAATAGCTTAATAGTTTCTTCCATTGAAGTTGCCATAGCCCATCACCAGCAAACCACAATTTACATTTTCATGATAGATTATAATATTATCTAAGAATAAGAAAAGAGTGTTATGAGGTAATGATACTAAGTTGAAAAGACAAATAATTATAAAGCACATTCCATCAAGTTACAAAAGGATATCAAGGGACATAAAAAGACAAAGAGGTAAAATAAGACAATGACAAATTGGATTAGGTTGACTAATTCTCATACAGTTATATTTACAATATATTAATTTTTACTTTTGTAATTTTTTCAAGATCTGCAAAGTTAAAAAAGTAGAAGAGTCAAACCATATATTTACATTGATCATGACACACATATTTCTACTGGTTACAACAGGTAAAATTGAAGAGAAAGTGTTTCATCTTTCTTGACTTGTTATATAATGAAGAGATCCTCTAGATTTCTGGATAAGAGGGATAACTAGCAATCCCACAATGATTTCCGCTATTTCTTGCCATCCGAATATATCCTTGTTCACCAAAGTGGAGGCCCCAGCTTTAGAAAAACAAATAACACAAAATTACAAATGAATGCCACATTTTCAATTTTTTATCTCTTAGATTGTGTTTCTCATAAAGCAACTCTATATAAAAAGCTGTAGGCCCTGGCTAGGTAGCTCAGTTGGTTAGAGCATTGTCCCAATATACCAAGGTTGTGGGTTTGATCCCTGGCCAGGACACATACACGAATTAACTAATGAATGCATAAATAAGTAGAACAAAAAACATGTTTCTTTCTCTCCCTTTCCTACCCCCTCTCTCAAATCAATAAGTAAAACTGTTTTAAAAAATAAAAATCTATAAACAAAATTAGCTTTAGAATATAAAAATTTCCCAAGGACTTTTAGGCAATTTTCAAAGGAATTTTTATTTATTTATTTATTTATTTATTTATTTATTAAAAAAAAAATATATATATATATATATATATATATATATATTATTATTTTATTGATTTTTCACAGAGAGGAAGAGAGAGAGCTAGAGAGCTAGAAACATCGATGAGAGAGAAATATCGACCAGCTGCCTCCTGCACACTGGGGACGTGCCCACAACCAAGTACATGCCCTTGACCAGAATCGAACCTGGGACCTTCCAGTCCCAAGGCTGACACTCTATCCACTGAGCTAAACCGGTTCCGGCTTCAAAGGAATTTTAGAAGGCTTTAGTCCTAAACAGGATGGGGCAAAAGTAAGATTCTAGTTGTGAGTATGTGAAACAAAGTTTATTCTTGTATTATTATTATTTATTATATTATTTTCCATATGAACTATTGTAAACCTACTTTTGCCTCACCCTATTTTGATGAATACTTAATATGTAAATAAAACAATGAAAGATCCATTCCAAACCTTTAATCCTCCTTCTTTGTAAATATGCCTTATGCAGGGAATGAGTATTATTATTCTTCCCAAGGCCCCACCTCTAAATGTTTTTGCATAATAGGATCATAGGTAACCATTTGCTATTGAACTTAAATTCCTTTAAAGAATGTCAATTAAATATTTTTGAGAGACTACTATAGAAAAGGCATAGGGCAGGGAATTTCATGCTTTGGGCCTCTAGTATATATATAGCTAATATCCTAAGAATGGAAGGATGTTACCCCAAAAAAATGTAGAATAAGAAGAGTAATGGGCAAAGGATGGGGCCCTGGAGGAAAGACCAACACTGGCGAACTGAACAGAGGAGTACCGGTAGGTATTCTTAAAGGAGATCAAGAAGGAATGATCAGAAAAGTATTGTAGAAGAGCAGCCATGAAAACAAAGAGCTGAAGGCACAATAGGAAATGCAGACAGTACATATATAGAAATTACTTTATAAGATGTTATCATTGTCAATATCATGATCATCATCATAATCACAAGGAAGCATTTGTTGAGGCTCCCTCCAAATCCTGATTTTAATTAAATATCCATTAAAATATACATATATTACCTGTTTTTCACAAGCCAGTAGTCTTTCCCATTATAGTTACCGTAGCCAACCGCTAATACAGCATGATTCACTTTTAGAGTACAGGCTTGGTCATAGTAGACACCTGAGAATAAAATGGTAGAGATAGAAAAAGAGTGAATGGCATGTGACAATGAGGACATTTGAAAATGCTATTATTTTTGTTAGACTGTTTTGCATATGTTAATTAAAAGTTTTAAGAACATATACTCTAATTTTTTTTAACTATTTATATTTAATAATTTTTTGCCATCAATGCTGTGTTTGTCAGGGTTTTTTTTGCCAAGTTTCCTAAAAAGTTTTCTTTGATAAAACTGTTACCCTTTTCTAATTATTTTTAACTTATAAACAGTTATTGTATTTTTTTTAATTTATGAGAGAGAGAGAGAGAGAGAGATGCTTTGTTGTTCCAGCTACCTATGCATTCATTGGTTGTTTCTTAAATGTGCCCTGATCAGGAAATGGGACCCTCCAGCTTGGCCTATCCAGCTGAGCTAGCCAGCCAGGGTCTACTGAATTTCTTTGTAGATATTCCTAAATTGTTTCTTCCATACATTTTCATTCTTTATTAGATTAAATTTTTTTTGTTAAAATTTTCTGTCAATCTTCCCCTGAGGATATTTTTTCCATTGCTTTTCAGAGAGAGTAGAAGGGAGGGAGGAAGGGGGAGAGAAAGAAACATTGATGTGAGAGAGACACCTAGACTGGGGGTGGAGAGTGAACCTGCAACCCAGGTACGTGCCCTTGACTGGGAAGCGAACCAACGACCCTGAGGTATGTGGGGCCAACACTCTAACTCACATGTGTCAAACACAAGGCCCGCGGGCCAAATCCGTCCCGCCAGGCCTTGCAATGTGGCCGGCACCGCGCTGTCATCACTGCACTCCGCTGCGTTTCCATCACAATGACAGTTTATGACTGTTCAGTAAACCATTCGGCCCGCGATTTAGGCTGGATTTTAGATTTTGGCCCCTTCTCTGATTGAGTTCGACACCCCTACTCTAACTGCTGAGCATACCAGCCAGGGCTAGATTAAATTATTTTTAAGGTGAGGTTTAGAAAAAATATTATGATCTTCTACCCATCAGTGGGTGCCCTCCTTTATACTGCTATGTGCAGCTGTAGTACACAGTGGCTACAGTGGTTAGCAGCACAGGTACTGGAGTTAAGTAGCACAGTTTCTAGTTCCAGCTAACCGTTTTTCATACTGTGTGGCTTTAAGCAAGTTAACCCAAAAACTTAATTTTTTCATTTGTAAAATAGGGCTATTGTGAGGATTAAATGAGATAATACATAAGAAGAATTCATCATGGTACTTGACATATAGTCTTAGTAAACTTCAGCAAGTATTATTTTACTAATTAGAACTGGGTGTAAAATGTGTACATGAAATGGAGGGTTCTATTTATCCGACTCAAAACATTCAGAGGTGGATAACATAATAGTGCAAGGGCGGAATATAACAAGAGGATACTACGTCTGAGTTTTTACCACTTTTGTAGAGGAAGAAAGAAGGATGGCTCGCATCTATAGCAACAGACACAGGTCCTTTACTGGCCACAGCTTCTTTCAAGGCCTCTTCACTACCGTAAGGAAGTTCAACATACTTTGAACATGTGGCAGCTCGATATTTTGAGTCATACTGGCACTTTCCATCCTGAAAAAAGAAAAAGAATAAGTTAGATAAAGAAGTATACTTCACTTTCTTTCACAAATCACCAATATCCTAAGTTTGGACTTCAAATATCTTTAAAAAAAAAAAAATTATTGATTTTTTACAGAGATGAAAGGAGAGGGATAGAGAGCTAGAAACGTCGATGAGAGAAACATCGACCAGCTGCCCCCTGCACACCCCCCACCGGGGATGTGCCCACAACCAAGGCACATGCCCTTGACCGGAATCGAACCCGGGACCCTTCAGTCCGCAGACCGACGCTCTACCACTGAGCCAAACCGGCTTTGGCTCAAATATCTTTTCTTTCCTCATTAGCCTTTTCAAGTATCTAAGGTGTCTTCCTGTGTTTGAAGAAAGAAAAATCAAATCTTCCAAAGCCCAGTCCCATGTTTCATCAATAGCAGAGGATGTACATATTATTCTATTATTTTACATTGTGCACATTTCGTATATGCATAAGTTGCCCGGATAATGTCCTCAGACTCTAAGGTGGATTGTAGGGGTGTACAACATAAAGATCTTAAACTCTAGACTAGAGCTTTAAAAATCTTTTTGGTAATATAATGCCTGCAAGATGATCTGCAGTTTAAATAATGGTTTATAACAACCATGTATTATAGCATGGAAAACAGTATATTTCATGTGGGAAAAGGGAGGTTATCAATTCATGTTTGTTTCTACAACTATGCTTTAGAAGTACTTATTTAGAAAGAGAACTTGAAAGAAATAAACCAAAATCATAGTGGATAAGGTAGGAGGTTTTGGAGTGACTATCTTTTCTAAATTTTCTGCAATATGGATGGATATATTACATTGTTTAATAAAATATATCATGAACTCGCAAGGAGGATGAAGAGAGCATGACTTCGTTTTTTAGTAGCTCAGAGAATGATGTGTTGATGATTTGAGATAAGAGTAATCATGGGAGGCTACTGGACAGAATTTAAGTTCCAGGCAGATATGCAGAAAGAGTTTTAAGGAAGGTTTGCTGAAATTCCATTTTAAGCATGAATTGTATTTGCTTGTCTAAAACTAATATGCCAGTGATAAATTAAGAAGCCTCCCCAGGACCGGTTTAGCTCAATGGATAGAGCATCGGCTTGGGGACTGAAGGGACCCGGGTTCGATTCCGGTCAAGGGCATGTACCTTGGTTGCGGGCATATCCCCAGTAGGGGGTGTGCAAGAGGCAACTGATCGATGACTCTCTCTCATCAATGTTTCTAACTCTCTATCTCTCTCCCTTCCTCTCTGTACAAAATCAATAAAATATATATATATAAAAAAAAAAAAAAAAGAAGCCTCCCGCATAAGAAAAAGAACTCTTGAGAATTTAGGATTCCTAGTCAGGATTTTTACACACACAACACTGCTTCTCAAGTATTGGCTTGGTGGTGAGTTTAGTTCAGTCGGTCAAGAGATATAAGATCATGGGGCAGCCCAAAATATTTGCTTGTGACATACCATGGCTTTATAGGGATAGGAAGCTTCTGAATCGATGCCATTGTTGTCAATGATATACTGGAAAGCCTCTGTCATGAATCCACCATTGCAGCCTTTATTGCTGTATTTTCCATTTGAGCAATCCACCAGGTTCTGGGCGCTCAGAGACACCAGCTTTCCTGTCTTCAGCTTCAGCTGTGCTTCCAGGGCCCCCACAGCACTGAAAGCCCAACAGGAACCACAAGAACCCTAAAACAGACACAAAGTCATAGAAGAAATTACAGAAAGTCAGTAACACCCAAACTGGGCAACACCCAACATATCAGCCCTGTCGATAGTTATCGGAAAAGCTCCCCCACTTATAATTTCCTCTTCTCTTAGACCAGTGATTTTCAACTGGTATGCCACAACACACTGGTGTACTGCAAGAATTTTTAAAACATACAATACCTGACTAGTCAGGGGCATTGACCTCTTTTCCCTTAGATTGTCAAATAAAAAGGTGACAACAGCTGCCCTGGCCGATGTGGCTCAGTTGGTTGAGCGCTGTCCCAGGCACCTAGAGGTCACGGGTTCCATTCCCTGTCAGGGCACATGCCTGGGTTTCAGGGTTTCAGGGGGGGGGGGGCATTTTGGTAGGCAGCCAATTTATGTTTCTCTCATCATGTTTCTTTATCTGTCTCTATCTCTTCCTCCCCCTTCCTCTCTAAAATCAATAAAAACATATTTTTCAAAATGACAACTAACACAATAGCTGTCCAGTATGAATGAATAAAAAATATAACTGTTTTCTAGGTCAGATAGGCAAGAATATATTTTTTGTTGTGCCACAGATTTTATTTATTTATTTATTATTTTTTATAGATTTTTTACAGAGAGGAAGGGAGAGAGAGAGAGAGATAGAAATGTCAATGAGAGAGAAGCATCGACCAGCTGCCTCCTGCACACCCCTTACCGGGGATGTGCCCACAACTAATGTACATGTCCTTGACCGGAATCGAACCTGGGACCTTTCAGTCCGCAGACCGATGCTCTACCACTGAGCCAAACTGGTTTCGGCTGTGCCACAGATTTTAGTAATTTGTTTATTTGTGCCATGAGATGAGAAAGGTTGACAATCATTGTCTTAGACAACGGGAAAGACTAAACCCTTGCTCACTCTGGGTAAGGTTCAACCTGGATAAAGATTTGCAAATGGCTGAGCTCAGAGCTTAATTACCATATTCAAGCATATTAAGAAACAGTACTTATTAAGCATGTACTAAATCCAAGCTATTTTCACCAGTAAAGGAAATAGTTGCCTACAATAAAATGATTTTGAAAGGAGCTGGGGTGATTCCCTTGATCTAAAATACCCTATGATGCCTTGCCTGAAACATAAGGTCAAAAATTTCTTTTAGTTTTTGAATTTTTAAATCCAAAGATATTTTACAAACAGAAAACAAAAGGTACAGAGAGGACAGAGCCCTTTAATAACTTCTCTCACTCTCTTCTCTTCTCATCCCACCTTGCTCTCTACCCAAAGAAAGCACACTGAAATTGCTTTTGGTTAAAGCAAAATCATCTATTGAAATGCAAGCACCCAGGGAAAGAAGTTCATTACATTATTTATAGTCAACACCTAAATAAGCAGTTTATCAGATCTTTCCAAACTTTTATTTTAGAGAATCTCCAGTAAGAAACCCAAAAATAGTTGAAAGAAAAATAACCAGATGGAAAAAGAGATTAACAGTAGCATTCACTTATTAATTTTTACCTTTATGGGTCACAAGCTGGGGTCATATTGCTTAGAATATTCTGATTCTTCCTTACCTAGATCTCTAAATAATACATGTGTTTTACTCTTATTTATCCCTAATTTAGGATTTTTAAAAAATATATTTTATTGATTTTTCACAGAGAGAAAGGGAGAGAGATAGAGAGCTAGAAACGCCGATGAGATAGAAACATCAACCAGCTGCCTCTTGCACACCCCCTACTGGGGATGTGCCTGCAACCAAGGTACATGCCTCTGACCGGAATCAAACCTGGGACCTTTCAGTCCGAAGACCCACGCTCTACCACTGAGCCAAACCGGTTTCAGCTGGTTTTATTTTACAAGCAAAATAAATATAAAAACAAAAATTTAAAAGCCTGTATTTCTTATTCTAAAAATGCAAGCCTAATCAAATTATTTGACTGTGTAATTTATAGACAACACTGAGCTCTCTTTTCTCTCCTTCCAACCTGAAATTCACAAGTGAGAAGGAGGTAGCTATTTTCTCACACACAATACTATTTCTCAAGCAGTTAGCATGGTGGAGGGTCCAGTGCAGGTGATGGATAGCATGAGCACTGAAAGTCTGTCTTGACCTATTTGCTTAGTTTAAAGTTTTTTAATAATGTGGCTCTAACCATTAGTGAGGAATACAAATAAATTATGTGGTCCTTGCTCTCAGTAGCTCACAATTTAATTGAGAAGACAGAATAATAAAAATAATTAGAAAGTATATAAGGGAGAGTCACTGCCAGATGATGTAGCTAGACTAAGTATTTACAGAAGAGGGAACTCTACCTAGGGTGCAGAGGCCTGGCGTGATGGTACTCACCTGGTATTTCACTTCGGTAACACACCCCTTGTCTCTCCAGTCCATAGAATCAGGTAATTTTTGGTTAGGGTTTGACTTGTAAGTGACATTTCTCTGCCATGGGCTGGGGACTCTTAGGGAACTCATCAATAACATTACTTCTTCACTGGTCTACAAGGCAAAATAAATAAAATAAATATACAACATATATCCTTTCACTTATATCCTGCTTTTCAATATCCTAGTAACTAAAACTCTGAATATATTTGACAACTTGGAAAAAACAAGTGGTAGTTGTGACCATCATAGGTACTGTTAAATACCTCATGGGTGAATTATCTGGGTCTCGTTTTTACTCTCACATTTTGCAATATTATCCCAGTTAGACAGTGGGAAGGAGAAAAAGAAAATTACAAAAACTAGAAGTTACAGGGAGACAGATTTTTGGTTTAAAGTAAGGCATAATTCTATAAAAGAGCTGTCTAGAAAGTGGATTGAACTGATTTTCCTTGTGAGAAAGAATTATAGAGTCCAACATTTAAGTGGGAATTTAATCTACTAGGGTGTTCCCTTCCAAGGGGTACTGTGATTCCAGTGAGCAAGATCTCAAATGAGCCTATGATTCTTAATTTTGGCACAGTGGTGCAGTTTTGCAGGGTAGTACAGAATATAAAATGGAAGATTTTCTTGTGATATTAAGAAATTAATTCTCCAATTAAGAAAGCAGGTGGACCATATTAAATTGTCAATTTAGACTTACATAAGTACGATAACTACAAGATTGTGAGCAGTCTTACCAGGCTTAAAAAAAAATTGGGCAATGTTTTATAAAATTAATAAAAACAGAAGACTAAAGTCTATGAGTTTAAAACAAAGAAGGGATTTGGTAAGTAAAGTGGTAACATTAGGACTAAAGGAATCTGCAAATTCTTGTTTTTAAAGTCTGCCTTTTCTAACTTTTACATGTAGATAATTTGCCTTTGTCATTTACTTTCAATTTGCTTTTGGAAAGACAGAAATCATGCTTACCAAGAGATAAGAGCAGGATTATTTGAGGTTTACCTACCATGTCTGCCAGATGGTTCATGCCTAGATCATATGAATGCATTCCCATTGAATGCTCCAGGTTGTGAAGCATCACAAATTTTAGATTCTTTTCCCAGATGAAACGTCGTGTTACTTCCTCATTCTAATAAGTAAGGAAAAAAGAACATAGTTGTACTGAATCTTGCACAAATAAGTGTTCAATAATGAAAATAAACATATTATGAAGCATTCCACCATGTAAATAAATGAATATATTCAATATAACTGGTAAAACTATATATCAATCTTAATTCTTACACTTAATTGCTTGATGTGATTAATATTATTTTATGATGTATAATGAACTTCTTCCAAAAACATTTGCTAAAATGTTTTTGTTTTACAAAGTGCAATTGGTTGAAGTATATCCTTTGTAGGTAGTAAATTCACAACATCTTTACAGGCTTAAAAAATTTTTTTTGCCCTCACTCTTGAAAGATAGTTTAATTGATTATACATTTCTAGCTATTTTTCTTTAGCGATTTGAAGCTATTTCTCCATTTTATTCTAGTATTTATTATTCTAAACCACTAGAATAGAAAAATGGAATAAAGAAAAATAAATTTAATGAAGTATCGGAAAGCAGATTATTGCTTTTAACTTTGGTAACTTTTATGATTCCCTTTCTCTTTGATATTTCGAAGCTTCATTACATGTGTCTGGGTGTGGGTTTCTTTATTTCCTCTCTTGGGTACTTTTGATTGAAAGATGCAAGATTTTTTTTCATATCTAGAAAATTTTAACCAGTATCTCCTCAATATTGCTTCTCTACCATCCCATCTAACTGTCTTTTTCAGAAATTTCTATCAGATATATTTTGATATATTTTGTAGCCTCAAACTCTTTTTCATCTCTTTTACCTGCATTTTCACAGTTTTTCTTTTCCTTTTCATATGCTTCCTTGTGGGTTGAATGCTTCAGTACTATCTCCTAGATTGCCGTTTCTATCCAACTCTTTCCAGTCTGGAGTTTATATACCTTTTATTGAGTCCTTATTTCAATTACTACAGTTTTAATTTTCAAGATTCCTAATTTAATTTCTAATTTCTTTTATACTTTCTTGTTCTTTTGTATGGATGTTATTATTTATGTTATATATATGTGTGTCTGTATGTATACATATACATATATGTATACATATATATATATACTTTTAATTTTATCCAGAGTGAATCCATATTTTGACTGTTGAATTTGTTGCCCTCGGGGAGTTTCAGTTACATAGGATCAATGTACATGGAATACAAAGTATATGGTGCCTCCTAAAATTCCAAACACTCATCTCTACCCCCAAGGCTATAGTTTCCAATAAATGATAACCCGATGAGCAACCAGCAACAACTATTTTCTGCCTCATCTCATTAAGTGTTAGAGCCCAAGCCCAGACCGTGGTTCCAGGTAGCAAGTCTAGATGCAGCCCCCTTTTCCTTAGAGCAAGATTTTATTGTTACCTCAGTAGTGGTTATGTACAGATATACTGCCAGACCAATGGAGCAGAAAAAATGGAACAAAAAAATAAACATAATGAAATATAGGAAAGGAAATAAGAAATGAACTTGGAGATAACTGAAGTAGGATAAATTAAATAAATTAAGGTAAGATACCAATGGAAAGTCATTTTTATTTCCCCTTAGGGAGTAAAATCATTAAAAAGAAAGATAGCTTTAACCAGACAGTGGTACCATCTAACTCCAGTAGACTCTGAAATTAGAGTGAAGGTGAAGTCCATCATTCCAAGAAAACAACTCAGAGTGCACGTACTACTCAAAGTATCTTTTTATACAAAAATGATACATCAAATAAGTGACTGCATGTTGGCCTACAAACTCAGTATTATATACCGAGTGTCCCACAAAATGTGTGTGTGTGTGTGTGTGTGTGTGTATATCGAGATATATATATATATGTGTATATATAAATGTCTATAGATTCTATTACATTTTAAAAATGAAATGTATTTTAATAAATACTGCCTTTATAATTATTCCAAGTATGTATAGCTTTTGTGGGACACCCTGTAGTTACAGGACTTAGTTATTTGGAGCACTAGGGTTAAGGACTTAAAATCAAAATCAGTAAGTATGTTTCGAAATAAAAATAAGAGCACAAAGTGGGAAGTGAGAGTCAAGAAACAACATCTGTCATTCCATCTGCCTGGGGCGGAAATAAGGGCTTTTAGTTTCCAAACATGTCCTCTTTCCCCTTGGCCTGGCACCTTCATTGTAGTGATCTACTTTGCTCGCTCCCTGGCTTCTATCCATTCTCTGCTCAATTGTCACCTTATAGGTGAGGCCTTCCTTGACTGTTCTATAGAATCATCATTCCCAGACTCTCCCCGCCTTCACCCAGGGCCCTTCCTACCCTCCATGCCTTACCTTGTTTTTCTCTACTTCACTTATCACCACTTAACATACTATATACCTGATTATTTATTAACTTATTTCTTGTCTGCTCTACTGGGGTGTAAGCTCTATAAAAACAGGAACTTTGTTTTGTGTTGTTTCCGGCTATACCAAGAGCAGAATCTGGCAAGAAATGTGAACGGAACATTTATTGAAAACACTGCTTGTAAGAATATAATCTGAGAGGGAGAAAGCACAGAGTACTAGAGTAAAAGCAAATCTCTCAAGTGGCAATGCCGTCTACCTGTTCCGTGTATTGCTTGCCATAGGTTTTCTTCCAGAGGTCCCAGTGGTGATCCAACGTGGGGTCTTTGTGCAGCTGTGCCATGGCAGAGGAGCACCCCAGGAGAAGCCAGAGCAGCCATTTCATTCTGTGAAAGGAAAGGTCACGTAGGAGGAGTAGCTGTTAGCTGCATCTATTGTGACCATATCTTTCGTAACAAAAAAAAAGCAATGCAAAGGCTGTCAAAGGGACAGAATACTACAAATCACAATTATTGAATATATAGAAGAAGTGTGGGAGGATATACAGTGTGGGGCAAAGTGGGTTTACAGTTATTCGTATGAAAATAACACAATAATTAATAAGTAATAGGTTAAGCATCTTGTTTCATGTACAAAATTTATTCTTGTGCTATTTTTATGAATTATTGTATTATTTTCCATACAAACAACTGTAAACTTACTTTTGCCCCACCTAATATAGTCACAGTTATACTGTGGTCTGCAGATTCATGTCAGAAATACTACTACTAATGCTTATGAGCTCTTTAAAAAGTGATTTTCAGAAATTTCCTGGTGCTTGGTAAACCAAACTCACATTCAGGGTTGACATTGTTACAGGAAGTAGGGACTTTCCAGGATTTGCCAACAAATCTAATCAAGGGACATCCTCTTTCCTCATTAACGGGAAAGCAAACCTTGGAAAAATCATATATCTTCAGAATTTTTGAATGTGTAAGTTCTTCTTAACTGGCCTACTTAAATATTCACACAACATTTAGAGGTGGTTAAAAGACAACTCCTAAGTATTCTTTTCACATCCAAAGGTCATTTTATTGAGTTAATTTTTTTTAACTCCCCCCAGCTCCAGCAATCAAAATATTGATTTCAAAGGAAGCAAAATTAACTTCTTTTGAAAACACTACTTATCTATTTAATACAAAAACATTTTAACAGAAATTCAGTGACCAGCCATTTCTCAAACTGGATTCTCCTTTTAATTCCGTTTTTTTAATTGAAAATAACTGTGATTGTAACCATATAAATCTTCAAAGTATACGCCAAAGAAAACTACATTTCAGCCTCAGGCTTAGATGTCCAAACACACATTTAACTTTTCAAAACTAAATTCCTTTTAGTCCAAACGCAAAGAGGCAAATTGAACCATTTGATTTTTTTAGTTTACTTCCTGAAACCAAAGATTTGAAACCTGGCAGGCAGAGCAAGCTGAAAACACAAAGGGTTTAAGACCAAATGCGAGAAAATAAAACCCAGACAGTACCTATGCATATTGGAACCAGCAGATGCTCCCATATTAAGAATGCTTGAAGGTGGTCTCTCCAAAGATTCAAAGGCAGCAAAGAGACTTCAGCTAAATTTGACTTTAAAAAGAAGTTGGAACTTGTCACATGAATCATCCCGAAGAGGAAGTGAACTTTCATTTCAGTTTCATTTAAAATCTTATAGGTCAGCTGACTCCAGCCCTCTCTCTATGATTTTGGAAACAAAGTGGGTACAACTAGGCATCAAAAGAGCCCCCAGTACGGGAGATCAGTAGAACCTGCTCAGTAAAATAAGAGCACTGCAAGTTTGCCCTTCAATCCTTCATCATTTTGATAATTCACCTTACCTAAAATCACCAATTTTCAGATTGGTTTCTCTCACACATTGATGTTTTTTTCCTCTCTCCCTTTCTCTTCCTCTCTCTAAAAAATAAATTTTAAAAAATGTAAAAAGAGAGAGAAGAGAAAAAAAAAAACAATGGTAGAGTTGAGCAGCAGCAACAGCAGATTTTCTGGCCACCTGGTCCCCAGTATTACCGGTATGAATTGTAGCATTCATGTCAACTGTGTTTTGTTCAGTAGCATCCTAGGTTGAGCATCTCTCTCTGTGTGGTTTAGGAAATGTTCCTGGTTACTTGATCTCCAAGCCTGACTGGCTTCCTGACTTTCCCAGAGATTTTGTGAGCTCCCTACTATTTTTTAAAAATATATTTTTTATTGATTTCAGAGAGTAAAGGAAAGGGAGAGAGAGAGAGAGAAACATCAGTGATGAGAGAGAAATCATCAATCATCTTCTGTTCCTTAGTATTTGTCCAAAAGGTAAAAACTTTATGTCCAGGTTAGACATGCACCTGTGCTATGTGACGGGGCAGTGAGGCGAGCTGTCTGGCCTTTAGCCCTTCATCCTTGGCTAAGGAAATGACCAGCCAGTACAATATTCTCTTCAAATAAGAGCAAGCCCATGTCGTCACTTAGTCAGTGGCCTGGGAGACAAACAAAAAAGAAAACTGAGACAGTGGTCACGGGGTCCCTGGACGACCTGGTGAAAGTCTGGAAATGGTGTGATGAGAGGCTGGACCTGCAGCGCAGTCTGGAGGGACATCAGCTGGGCATGGTTTCTGTGGACATCAGCCACATGCCGCCCATCAATGCATCCAGTTCTCTCAATGCCCACATTTGTCTCTGGGACTTGGAGTGTGGCAAACAGATGAAGTCCATAGATGCAGGATGGGTGGATGCCTAGACTTTGGCCTTTTCTCCTGATTCCCAGTATCTGGCCACAGGAACTCATGTGTGGAAAGTGAACATTTTTGATGTGGAAAGTGGGAAAAAGGGATATTCTTTGGACTATTCATTATTAGCATTGCCTATAATCCTGATGGGAAGTATCATCAATATTTTTGATATTGCAACGGGAAACTGCTGCACATGCTGGAAGACCATGACATGCCTTGACCTTTTCCCCAGATTCCAAGCTCCTCATCACTGCTGCAGATGACGGCTACATCAGGATCTACAATGTACAACACACCAACTGTGGTTGTGTGTTGCGCTCTGAGTGGCCTCGCATCCTAGGTGCTGAACATGGCGTTCTATCCTGACAACACTCATTTTGTTTCCAATTCGTCTAACAGGAGTGCGAAAGTCTGTGACATCGGAACAAAGACTTGTGTTCACACCTTCTTCGACTACCAGGATCAGGTCTGGGGAGTAAAATACAATGGAAATGGCTCAAAAATTGTGTCTATTGGAGATGATCAGTAAATTCACATCTACGATTGCCCAATTTAAATGTCAGTTTTCCACGCTAATGCTGCAGAGAATGTACAGATTGAACATAATATTCCCCATCCTTCTAGCTTGTTTAAAAGATACATTTATTATAGCCAAAACTTAAATTGTGTAGATATGACATAAATATTTTCATGTTTTATTTGGGGAAGGACTTATGTCCACACAAAAATCTGCACTCAGATGTTTATAGCAGATTTATTCATATTTGCTAAAACTTGGAAGCACTGAAGATGTTCTTCAGTGGATGAATGGATAAATAAACTGTGGTACATCCAGATAATGGAATATTATTTGGCACAAAAAAAAAAAAAAAGAGCTGGCAAACCAGCAAAAGACCTGGAGGAACCTTAAATTCACATTACTAAGTGAAAGAAGCCAATCTAAAAAGGCTACATACTATACAAGTCCAAAACAAGGCAAGAAGTTAGGGGAAGGAGGGATGAATAGGCAGAGCACAAAAGATTTTTAGGGCAATGAAACTACTTCATATGATACCATAATGGTAGATATATCTTTATATATCTGTCCAGACACTTGGAATGTACAACACAAAGAGTGAATCCTTGCTGAAACCAGTTTAGCTCAGTGGTAGAGCGTCGGTCTGCGGACTGAAAGGTCCCAGGTTCGATTCCGGTCTAGGGCATGTACATTGGTTGCGGGCACATCCCGGGTTGGGGTTGTGCAGGAGGCAGCTGGTCGATGTTTCTCTCTCATTGATGTTTCTAGCTCTCTATCTCTCTCCCTTCCTCTCTGTAAAAAAATCAATAAAATATATATTTTTTTAAAAAGTGAATCCTAATGTCAACTATGGTCTTTGGGTGATTATGATGTGTCAGTGTAGGTTCATCATTTGTTAACAAATGTGCCACTGTGATGGGGAATGTTGATAATGGGGGAGGCTATGCTTGTGTGGGGGCAGAGGGTATATGGGATATCTCTGAACCTCAATTTTGCTTCGAACCTAAAAGTGTTCTAAAAAAAATAAAATCAATTTTTTAAAAAACATACCACCCTATACTTTACAGCTTCATCTTCACTATTGCTATAACCTAAGGGTTTGACTTTCTACCCTCTCCTATTCAGATTTTGAAACCTAATCTCCAATGTGAAGGTTATTTGGATGTGGTGGCTTTATTGGGACATTAGGTTCCCAGGGTGGAGCCCTCATGAATGGGTTTTTTTCCCCTACAAATGCCCTTATAAAAGAGGCCCCCTTGGCCCTTCTACAGAAAGATAGCCATCTGTGAACCAGGAAGGAGTTCACACCAGGAACTGAATCTGCCAGAGTCATGATTTTGGACTTCCCAACCTCCAGAACTGTGAAAAACAAAGTCTGTTGTTTATAAACCACCTGTTTGTGTTATTTTGTTACAGCAGCTCAAACAGACTAAGCCATCTATACTCACACATAAACCTTATACTCAAAGCAACTAGTTTTCATGTTCCCAGAAAATCCACACTTATCCTCTGCACTTTTTTACTCATTTTATAATTTTAACAGTCCCAGCTAACAAATCTTGGACACCAATTATATGCCAATGAATGTGTATTATTATTATTTTTAATATATTTTTTTAATTAATTTTGTACAGAGAGGAAGGGAGAGCGATAGAAAGCTAGAAACATCGATGAGAGAGTCATCGATCAGCTGCCTCTTGCACACCCCCTACTGGGGATATGCCCGCAACCAAGGTACATGCCCTTGACCAGAATCGAACCCGGGTCCCTTCAGTCCCCAAGCCGACGCTCTATCCATTGAGCCAAACCGGTCTCGGCTGAATGTGTATTATTATTAAAATTTTACAACACTATAAGGTAGGTACAATTCTTATCTTTATTTTATATAAGGAAATTAAAGTTCTGAGAGATTATATAACTTGTTCAAGAGACAGAACTGGTTGCTGACCTGGGATGGAACCATTTTTTTTTTTCTAGTTAAACAATGATTTTATTGCTCAAGTACATAGATTATTTAGGATGGAACCATTTTAAAAGTAGTGTTTTCCCACTGTCTGGAACTTCCTTCCCTCATCTCTGCCTCTTGAAATCCTGTTCAAACTTCATAGCCCATCTCAGAAGATACTTTTTTCAAAAAACCTTTTTTAAATTTCCAACCAGATGTCTTTTTTTTTGTTGTTTTGTTTTTTCAGCTTCTGCATTGCTTTCAGGCACTCTTGTAGCAGACTCAGAGATTCTGGTGAGAGAGAAATCATACCTTAATTTTCTACCTTATATTACAATTATTTATTCTTTGCCATATTAAGTCTACCTGTTAGCCCCCTGAATACTAGAGTTATATATTTCTTACCATCCTTGTATCCTCCAAAGTATTATATATAGTGCAATGATACAATAGACAATAAATACTTGCTGACATGGTTTAAATTATTTCAACAGCCTTCAGTCTATCTTGAAATCTCATCCTGTATATTACAGTCAAATTGTGCATCTAAGGCGTATTACTATTATGCCATTTCCTACAAATGCTTTGTTGCATTCCCCATCATCTGACTCATCCTTGCTCACTGTACTCAATTTAGAACAAATTTTTAACTTTCAACCTCTACTGTAGTCACGCTGGTTTTATGGGGCCCCGGCATTGCATTAACTCCCTTCCATCACAGATTAGGAAATATTTGAATAATGTGGGAAAGGGAAATGAAAGCAGAATAAGGAAACCTAGTGCCTTCCTCGGGTTTTGAAATCATCATCTATTAGCTTCATACACCCCAAAAGTTAGCTGCTTCTAGTCTCTCCAAGGAGCTATCTTATTTAAAGAAAAGGGACTCTGAATTTTAGGATAATATTGATGCTAGTTTAACTCTCTGTTAATTTACCCAAGTGATTAACTTTGTACTGGGAATTTAATACAATTTAATTTTAATTGTGATATGTCACAGTGAGGGCCTCTTTGGGTTCATCTTGTTTTGGATTCTCTGCACTTCCTGGACTTGTATGTCAATTTCTTCCACCAAGTTAGGGAAGTTTTCTGACTTTTTTTCAAATAGGTTTCAATTTCTTGATTTTTCTCTTCTCCTTCCAGCATCCCCATAATGCAAATATTGGTACATTTAAAGTTGCGCCAGAAGCTTTTTTAAAATTTTTGCTGTTCTGACTAGGTGTTTTTTGCTTCCTTATATTCCAAATTGCTAATTTGATTCTCAGTTTCATCTACTCTACTGTGGATTTATTTTTAGTGATATGCTAGGGGAGGAATGGTCACCCTGAGGGCAAAGTCCTACTCTACAATTGTTATTACTAGGCACCCAAGGCTTTTCACCCACATAGAGGGCACACATTCTCAGTTTCATCTACTCTACTGTGGATTCCCTATAAATTATTCTTCATTTCTGACTGGTTCTTTTTTATAATTTTCATGTTCATTTTTATGCTGAAGTTCTCATTAAAACCAGTATTTTGAATTCTGCATCTAGTAGATTGCTTCTCCTCATTTTTGTTTTTTAGAAGGCAGCTATGCTCACTAATATACCACCAACGCGGACTCTCATTTTTATTTTTTAATCTTCACCTGAGGATATTTTTTCCATTTTAAAAAATATATAAATAATGGGAAAGAGGGAGGAGAGGGAGAGAAACATTGACATGAAAGAGACACATCAATTGGTTGCCTCTTGCACGCACCATACTGGGGCCGGAGACCGAACTTGCAAACAACGTACATGCCCTCAATCAGGAATCAAACCCATGACCCTTTGGTCTATAGGCTGACACTCTAACCTAGGGGTGTCGAACTCAATCAGAGAAGGGGCCAAAATCTAAAATCCAGCCTAAATTGTGGGCCGAATGGTTTACTGAACAGTCATAAACTGTCATTGTGATGGAAACGCAGCGGAGTGCAGTGATGACAGCGCGGTGCGGGCCACATTGCAAGGCCTGGCGGGACGGATTTGGCCCGCGGGCCTTGTGTTTGACACATGTGCTCTAACCACTGAGCAAAATTGGCCAGGGTAACTAGTGTCCATTTTGTTTAATTATTTTTTCTGGAGTTTTTTCTGTTCTTTCATTTGGGGCCTCTTTGTCTCCTCATTTTGGCAGTTTCCCTGTACTTGTTTCTATGTATTAGGTAGAGCTACCATATCTCCCAGGCTTGATAGAGTAGGCTAATGTAGTAGGTGTCCTATAGATTCCAGGGGCACAGCCTGCCCATTCATCCAAGCTGGATACTCGAGGTGTGCCCTCTGTGTGGGTGAAAAGCCTTGGGTGCCTAGTAATAACAATTGTAGAGTAGGACTTTGCCCTCAGGGTGACCATTCCTCCCCTAGCATATCACTAAAAATAAACCCAACCACATATAGGAATAGAGTCTATTTGTTGCCCACATGTCCATACAAAAAGAAATTCTAAAAAAATGTTCTTTAGGCAGAAGGGATAAAGTTCCAAATCAAAATAATAGAACTGTATAGATTTGCATGGTGAGGAGTCTGATATTTCTCAAGTTTGTCTTTGGTCCTTTCAAAGCTCAGAAAAAATACATGCTAATTGCTCACCATGTTCTCTCCTGCCTACACATTTGAATATGCTATTCTTTGGGTCTGGAATGCCTTTTCCTAACACCCAATCTACAAGCACATACTCAAGCTTCAGAAAAGTTCAGAAGTCATTTTTCTGTGAAGGACCCTTCTTTGAAAAGAAGCAGAGTATGTGCCGTATTCATCACGTCGACTTTCTTGCATCTTCATTTTGTTCATCTGTTATTTGTCCTTTTCACCACTGCCAGAGGAATATTGTTAAAATACAGATCTGATCATGTCTCTCTCCTACTCAAAAATACCTGATGCCTTCTAAATGCCTGCGTATCTATAAAATAAAGTATGTACTTCCTGGGACATGGGAGGCATTCAAGGCCTTCCATGATTCTTCTCCAGCCTACTTTTCTCACCTCAGCTCTATCATGTATGTCTTTGCATCCTATACTGGAGCCACCCCAGCCCTCACCATTCACACACACAATTCTCGCAGCGCCTTTGTTCACTGAGAACCTTTGGCCTGATATGCCTTCTCTCCTCCCACTCCACTCCCCATCGGTCTTCTCTGCCCATTCGGATCTTCCAAAACTCTTTCTCAATGAAACCTCATCTAAAGTCCCATTAAGAATGAATGACTCAGCCGAGACCGGTTTGGCTCAATGGATAGAGCGTCGGCTTGGGGACTGAAGGGACCCAGGTTCAATTCCGGTCAAGGGCATGTACCTTGGCTGTGGGCATATCCCCAGTAGGGGGTGTGCAAGAGGCAGCTGATCGATGATTCTCTCTCATCTTCGTTTCTAGCTCTCTAGCTCTCCCCCTTCCTCTCTGTAAAAAATCAATAAAATATATTTTAAAAAAAAAGAACGAATGACTCATTTCCAAACTTGCATAATTAGTATTTATTTCATTATGGTTGGTATTATCGATTGTTTGTATGTCCGTCACTAGTCTATAATATTCTTGAAATTCAGACTGTGTCTTACTAATATATTTCATTATCATGTCTTTAAAAAAACTGCATACCACATGGTAATAAATATTTACATATAAAATTAAATGATTTTGCATAGAATAAAATCAGCATTTTCTAAATGTGAATTCTTTCTAGTGGTAAGAATGAGGATTTTGTGAAAAATGGTAAAATCAGTTATGCAGATTTATTACTAGCCTGCTAAATTCTTTTAGAATTAATACTGTTTGGAAACGATTATAAAGAGTTTCAATAAAAAAAATAGTTTCCAATATGCCTGATAGGGGCAGATGGAGAGTGGAGGGGGTCAGTGGGGGGGAAAAACAAACAAAGAGGACAACTGTAATACTTTCAACAATAAAGAAAAAAGTAAAAATAAATAAATGTATTTTTTTTTAAAGTTTCAATTTCCTCTCCTAGTGACAGCATAAGCTTAGGTTCTAGAACTTCAGAGGGCCCTAAGATATTTTTCAAGATCCAAGTATTATGTGCCACTTAATCTGGTCCAGCTAAAATGGAATTAAATATTGAAATCTCATTATACCCATTTAATTCCTGAAATTTAGTACAGTTCTTAATACACAGCACTTAATAGAAGTTGGTTGAAGGAATGAACAATTATTTATGTTACGATCTCTTCAAACAAACTAAGAGCATATCAAGTACAAGAATATGTTTTATTCACCTTTTTGTCTCTAGCACCTAGGACAGTATCCAACACAAAATGAGTTGTTACCAAATAGCTATTTATTAAGTTATAGACAAGATAAATACTAGGTTTACTTAAAAAATGCAAAGAAGGAAAAAGAAAACACATTTCTTGTATCATGTTAACTTGTACCAAAAATTGATAAATAGATTTATGAACTGGGGTGCATAGATATTTCTACCTTGGGATATAAAAGATGTGAACATGGTGATCGAAAAGTCATATCACCTTATTCCCCTAGAGTAGTCAAAGCTAACTAGGCCCTGTGAATGAGAATCTGGCCTATCTAAGATGTCTTAGCTTCTAACTGCACAGCATTAGCCTCAGGACAACACAGCAGGGCAGGCTATGGTCACATCTCTTAGCCTAAGAATGCACACCTGTTAGTGAAATTCCTATTGTGGTCACAGTGAAAAATAAAGGCCTTGGTGGAGAGAAGGAAAGTAGTAGGAGTGTCGCCTGAAGCACAAACAAATGAGGAGACTGAATGGACAATCTCTGTATTACTACATCTGCTTCCAGAAAGGCATACCACTCCCTTCCAAAGTACATCACTTCATTGCACCATCATGGAAGGAATGGACGAGCAGGATAGGGTTGGCTGGCTGAAGTCACATCTTGGGGAAGCTGGCCAGATTGGCAATGCCACAAGCATTGTTCTTATTCCGAGCCATGAGGATATAGCCTTTGTTTCCCCAGTTTTCTCCCCAGCTGTAGAACCAATGGAGAAATATACTTAGTACCCTCATTTATATAATACATTAAAACACTAGGTATTATAATGGCATACAAAATAAATAAGACAGTTTTTACCTTTAAAAAATTTAAAGTCAAGAAATGGAAGGCCTAATACTATAGGTCTTAAAGGTAGGAGAGATTGCTTCTGATCAAGAGGAACAAAAGGACGACGTAAGAGGTAGCATTTGAGCTGAGCCCAAAGGCTGGATAGAGTTGGGGCCTGTGGAAATGGGATGCTAGTGGAGGAGTGTGAAATGAGTAACAGGCAGGAGAGCATGAGACATGTGTTACATACAGTCTTATGACAGAAAAATAGGGTGCCTGACAGGGTGTGATGAGAAGTATGTCTGGTAAGGTAGCTCGAGATCAAGTTGAGCTATTTTTACTACCAAGCTAAATAAAGACTTGGACTCTGTGATCCATCATAGTGGAGGAGACACTGAAGGTTTCTGATTGGGAGAGTGATGTAATCTGATTTGTGCTTTAGGAAGATTAATCTTGAAAACATGAGTCGAAGAGAGGCTGAATTAGTGATTTTAGTGTGGGAATTAAAAACCATAGGGAAAATAAATGAAGCTATGAGAATGGATGAGGTCGCTAAGGAAATAAATGGAGAGAATGGAAGACTGGAGGGCGGGAGGGGGAAAGGAGAGTGGTTGACTGACAAGAGTAGTGTTCCCCTCATTACCTGTTTTTGATTATCCAGTGCTTTTTTCCCTTCTGGACCCCATATCCCACTGCCAAAACTGCATGGTTCAGATTATCACTGTTGCAGTTTTCATCGTAATACACACCTAGGAAACAGTCAATTAAGGTAAAGCTTCCTGTAATCCCAGGGGCGCCCCGTGGGGTCTCCCACTCTCGGTGACCCTTTGTAGCATCCATCCCAGTCAGAAGGGCTTACATCAGAGATGCTCTGTGCCATGGCAGCTGTTAATTTCTCTCTGGCAGACTCAGTCTGAATAGGGAAACGAAGTACTGAAAACGCTCAGTGCCCGCTGAGAAGCTGCCAAGGCCACATCATTCGTTGACTGTGCTCCTCTAGAGCAGCTCCTTACCTTTGCTATAAAACTGAAAGGAGCTCAGGCTTGCATCAATGGCCACTGAGATGGGTCCCACTCGGGCCAATGCCCTCTTCAGGGCTTTCTCGTTCCCCTCCGGGATCTCTTTGTACCCTCTGCACTTAGCTGCCTTGCCTGTTGGATTGTACATACAACTTTCATCCTGCAGGGGAATAAAAAAAATAATAATAAAATAGAAAAAATAGTAGGACAAAGCAACAGGCAATGAATTGGTGAGTAAGAAACTCTTATCAATGTTTTCCTTTATTATTTATTTCATTGATTTTTTTACAGAAAGGAAGAAAGTGGGATAGAGAGTTAGAAACATCAATGAGAGAGAAATGTTGATGAGCTGCCTCCTACACACCCCCTACTGGGGAAGTGCCTGCAGCCAAGGTACATGCCCTTGACTGGAATGGAACCTGGGACCCTTCAGTCCGCAGGCCGACGCTCTATCCACTGAGCCAATCCAGTCAGGGCTCTACCAACGTTTTAATGAACTAACAGGGTCAGTGACCAGTCTCTAGAGAAGTCTGTTCTCTCTCTACTATTTTAGAGCACTGCGAAAAAGTGACTACCTTGCACCATACACAAAAATCATTTTCAAGTGGTTTTAAAATATAAATATAGAAGGAAACACTGTAAAACCTAAAAAACAGGTAAAGAAAGAATTTTTTATTACCTCAGTGTAAAGATTTCTAAAATAAGATTTTTTTTAAAAGCACATTTCACTTTCTGGTTTTATAGTATGTGTGAGCTTGGGAGGGCTACCATTATTGTTTATATTTAGATAATGGATTTTTTTTAGCATTTTATTGCAGCAGACATCATTTCAGATGGTTAGACATGAATGAATAAACTCATTGTTATTGAATTTTTAAAGGAACAAACTACAAAGGAAAAAATTAATAATTTTAATACACTAAAATTAAGAGTGAAAAGACAAACATCAACCTACAATATACGTAATATAAGTATTCAAATATCTTTTTTAAATCCCTAAAAATTAGTAAGAAAGAAAAATAACCAAATTAAAATGGGCAAAAGATATAAACATTCAGTGCACTGAAGAAGAAATGCAGATGCCACATAAACACACTGATGAACATGTGGGACTTTCCATCAAGATGACGGAGTCAGAAGAACTGTGCTCATCTCTTCCCAAGACCACTTCAAAATTCCAACTAAGTCATAGAACCACCACCCATGAGAATCACCTGAAGACTAGATAAACAGAACTCCTGCAACTAAGATATAAAAAAGCCACATCAAGACTGAATGTTGCCGAAACCAGTATGGGTCAGTGGATAGAGCGACGGCCTGCGGACTGAAAGGTCCCAGGTCAAGGGCACGTACCTTGGCTGCAGGCACATCCCCAGTAGGGGGTGTGCAAGAGACAGCTGATCAATGACTCTCATTGATGTTTCTAATTCTCTATCCCTTTCTCCTCCTCTCTGTAAAAAACCAATAAAATATATTTAAAAAAAAAATATATATATATATATATATAAAGACTGAATGTTAACTGTAATTGAAAAATACGTTTTTTAAAAAGATGTAAATCAATGGGATTTTTTATACACTCAATGTGGGAATATAAATTTTCCAAATACTTTGGTAAAATATTTGATATTATCTATCTAGCAAAGTTGAATAACTTAAGACTTAAGATAATTCTTGTATATATATGTAGAAGACATGCCTGGCAATGTTTGCAGCAGATAAACAGATCTGGTAGATAAATGTTGGCTCTGCTACAAAACTAGTGGTATGAATTTGAATATGCTCTTTTACCTCGTGCCAATTTCCTCTTACAAAGTGAGGATACATCTACCTTACAGAGCTGTTGAGATTAAATGAGAAAATGCACCAAGCACATGGCTTAGCACATTGTAGCCATCATTTTCATTACTAAAACTGGTTATCCTGCCGAAGCCGGTTTGGCTCAGTGGTAGAGCGTTGGTCTTCGGACTGAAAGGTCAAGGGCATGTACCTTGGTTGCGGGCACATCCCTGGTACGGGGTGTGCTAGAGGCAGCTAGTCAATGTTTCTCTCTCATCGATGTTTCTAGCTCTCTATCTCTCTCCCTTTCTCTCTGTTAAAAAAAAAAAAATCAATATATTAAAAATAAATAAATAAATAAATAAATAAATAAATAAATAAATGAAACTGGTTATCCCTTCTTCCAAGGCTCCTGTTGCAAAGGCCCCATATTATATTATCAACCCCATGTCTATAAACAGCCCTCAGAATTTCTTCATTTTAGATAATTTCTGCTTTCTATTGCTAAAGAGGCTTATTGGAGGAAGTGAGTTGACCTTTAAAATTACAACAAATATGAAGCGACTTGTTTTTTCTCTCATTTTATATATGTAAACTTACATAATTTGCTTAAATGTTCCCAGAACCCAAAATGAGATTATTCAAAATAAAGCCACATGATTCACGAAATGAGATTTATGATGGGAGTGGGCTTTGAACAGAGGGTTATAGAGACCTTCTCCAAGATCTATGGAATAGCCTACCCCCTATTTCTCCCCACTCCCCTGGGGCACAGCCGCAGATGGGATCTATGGTAGCCTAAGCTCCCCAAATTCTCCCAGAGTGTGAGAATCTTCTTGGCCTCAGTGGACTATTTTCCCAGTAAGAAAGCAGAATAAGGTAACAGAACACAAGATTTCTGGAATTGTTTCCAGTACAAAATGTCATGCCGGGGCAGGAGGATGCATTCCAGAGCTATGCGGGATGGTCTCACCTGTCCCACATACGGGTAGGCGTCTTCGGAGTCAATGCCCCGGTTCTTCTGCACATACTGGAAGGCATTGGTCATGTAGCCCCCTCCGCAGCCATCATTCTCAGACACGCAGTCCACCAGGTTTTGGGGACTCAGATTTAAGAGTTTACCCGTTTTCTTCATGAGTTGACCCTCCAGGGCACCCACAGAGCTAAAAGCCCAACAGGAACCACACTGACCCTGAGAGGCATAACAGAGAAACCATCAGTCATTGTTATCCGCTTTTTGTTTTTTCACCTCTACCTGCCTGATGAAGTTCCAGAGATTTTATAAATTCCAGTATACATGTCCCCTTTGCTATTTCCCTTCATTTAATATTTGTTGCACTGTTCTATTGCTATTATTGCTATTGATATCTTTTGTTACTATTGTTCCATTAGCTAGTATAGCAGAGTACTGACTTTGTAACCACTTAGATAGGTGACCTTGAGTTAAGTTACTAAACCTCTTTTTGCCTCAGTTTCCCTCTCTGTAAAATGTGGATGATAAACGTGCTAGCGATCATTAGTGTTTCTTAAGATAGGTGGTAGATTTTTCTTTCTTATATTTTTATTATTATTTTTTGGTCCTTACCTAAGGATATGTTTTTTATTGATTCGAGAGAGAGGAGGAGGGAGATGAAGAGGGAGAGGGAGAGGGAGAGAAACATCGATGTGAGAAACATCCATTGGCTGCCTCCCATATGCCCCAACAGAGGATCAAGCTTGCACGCAACCTGGGCATGTGCCCTGACTGATAATCAAACGTGTGAGCTTTCAGTACATGGGACAACACTTCAACCAACTGAGCCACACTGGCCAGGGCTTTCTTTCTATTTTTTAAGATTGAGGATTTCTTGAGGTCACGGGTGTGTCTTAGTCATCTTGAATCTCTACTCCCTAGGACATATCTGGTTAAGTCTTGGGGGGAAAAATGTATTCGTTGCATGAATGTTAAATCAGTTGTTCATCTGTTGACACATAAAATCAATGTTGGTTAGGTTGTGGGAAAACTGGCATTCTCATGCTGATAAGAATGTAAGATAGTAAAACCTTTTTGGAAAGGATCTATTCATTTTAATTTGAGGATTTACTTTGCATGAATATTTGTATATGGATACAAAAATATATGCACATGGTGCTTACAATATTTGTAAAAAGGAAAACACAGAAACAACCTAAAGCCCGGTCCAGTGTTGCTCAATGGTTAAAGTTGGCCTGCACACCAAAAGGTTGAGGATTTGATTCCTGGTCAAGGGCATGTATCTGGGTTGCAGGTTTGATCCCTGCCTGGGGGTTGGGGCATTGTAAGGGAGGTAACCAATTGATGTCTCTTCCACATCATCATCTTTCTTTCCTCCTCTCTTCTCCCCTTCTACTCTCTCTAAAAATCAATAGAAAAAATATCCAAAAAAACTGAAAAGTTCAAAAATAGATGAGTTAAATGATAGACTAATTCCTCACCCCTTTCCTAATGCCCTTGTATCTTAAGAACAAAGAAACAGCAAAAGGAAGAGGTCATGCCAGCTTACATACCCATTCCCAGGAGACAGAAGGGTACCTGATTTTTGACAGGAGTAACATATCCCTTCTTTCGATAATCAATGGAGTCTGGGGCTTTGCCTTCCCAGTCTGGGATATAGAGGGTATCATTACTGCGAGAATGGGATGGAGGTACTCTGAGTCCAGTCATCTTCTGAACCACCTCTTCACTGGTCTGGGACAAAGAAAAGAGAGGCCAGGCGTAATCAGGAAACTAAGGCAAACAGGACAGGCAGGACAAGAGCTGCGGCTCACTCACCATGTCCCCCAAGTGGTTCATTGCCAGTTCATATGTATGGACACCAAGAGAGGCCTCAAGGTTATGGATGGAAATATGCTTCAGGTTTTTTTCCCAAATTAAACGCCGAGAGATTTCATCCACCTAAATAGAGCATCGTCAGTACTGGCATAGACTGGGTTTTGTGTGCAAAGTTACATATGTAATATTATGGAGCTATGTAGGAGAAAAGATAAAAATTTACAATAATAGAGTATACAATCTAATTTGGGAAATGATCATGGAATTATTAAGAACATGCAAGAAGAAGTATATAAGCATAGTCAAATAATAGAATGCAAAGATCCGGAGATGTACAGAAAAGTTGCTTATGGATTAACAGCATTAATCTGAGAAGTCTTCCCAAAAGAAAAATATAAAGAAGAGTAAGGATAGGACTTGATGGTTCTACTTGTTGGTGACTTGAGGAGTAGGAATAAAAACTCTATGTTAACAGCTGGGGAACAAGGACAGGTTTGCTTGGTTAGAGTGGTTCAAATATTGGATAGGAATCTGGAACCTGGGTCTGGAAATCCCACTTAGCCCTCCCCCCATGCTCCCCCCAGGTCCCTGGGCACCTTGCTGTTATACTGCTTCTTGTAGGTCGTCTTCCATAGCTCCCACTGGGTGTCCAGTATCTCCTCAGGGTATAGAGCAAAGCTCACCATGGGCAGCAGCAGTAGAACCTTGAGCTCCCACATCCTGAGGAACGGGATAATTAGGGACAACTCTTGTATTTGCCAAGGAAGTCTAGCCTGGCTTAGGAGGAAATACCTGGAGCCATCTTCCCAAACAGGTGGTTCTCAACCTTTGGCAGTCACAGACTCCTTTGAGAAGCTAGTAAAAATTTGCAAGCCACTATATAATCCCTCGCACCAGAAAAAATGCATGCACACACAATAATTCTGGGGTGTTGACGAGCCTGAAGTTGAGAACGTCTTCCTATTGACTATGAGGCAAAGGAAAATTGGGCTTCATGAAGACAGAAAAACAACTGAAGGTGATGTCCATGTGATAAACCTGATAGTCAGGAGGAGTCTTGGTTTGGATGGAGTGCAGATACTTCTGGTGCTAAGTATTTTGACCTAGGGAAATTCCATACACACACACACACACACACACACACACACACACACAACTTGCACTGACAACCTAAACAGGGTAGAAAATGGACTATCAGCATGGGCTCAGCACCTGTCTCCCATATCCCCAGCAGACTTGGAAAAGACAAGACGGACAAGGTTACATATAAAAGCAGGGCGGATGATGGTGGTTGAATAATACAAAAAAGGGAAGATTGCCCGTTTCATTTTGCTTCCTGGTCATTGCTTTAAGGCATTCTTCCTTTCTGTGCCTAAGTTCTGATATTTTTCCAGACCTTGCTAGGAGAGGACAAGGGAAAAGTTGACAGTATTTTCTATTCGCCAACTATGAGAGAATATTTTATTGTCTCCTTAGTCTTAAGCATTTCTTCTTTCTCTTTCTGCTCCCTTCTCCGGCAGGAAACTGTCCTAATTTCAACCAGCTGCTCTGGGCAGGAAGGTTTGTTGTTTTTCTTTCTTTTTTTTTTTTTCTGACAACGAAAACCTCTGTGACTGCCTCATAAGACAAATAGCCTCAGAACCAAAGTCTGTTAAAAGAATGTAAGACAGTAAAGCAATGTTCTATGACCAAATATACAGCTTTCCCTAGTTTGCTCTAGCTTTACTCCTTGCAGTGGCTTAATTACATGTCCTCCATTTTAAGAACAATTTACAGTCTGTAGCAAGTCACACAGCTTGCATTAAATTTTGAATTTATAGTCCATTTTTATGTAATCTCTGCAAACTGGCTGCTTTGGGATGTCTCAAGGTAGCAAGTACTGAGCTGCCACTCCCTGCACCACTCCACTCCCACTCCCGCTATGTTAACCCTTTTGGTACCACTCCCCTCCCGCTATGTTTACCCTTTTGGTCTCTTGGGCCAAAACAGAAAATCCCAGAGGCTACTCTAAGTGAAGGATGGGTAAAGGATTCCTGTATTTTTGCTTTTACTAACAACCATGTATACATACAAGTCACAGAAGTAATCCTAAAGATTTCCAGGCAGATTTTATTTGGCCAGGAAATGACCTAAGAAGGCTATCATTGTTTTCTTGCACAGAGCCTACAAAGTTCATTTTGATCCCCAAGTCACTAACATCCCTAAAACCCCTAAAATGTAGAACTGGCAGGAATGAAAAACCAAGAGCTAGGAAGTTGAAAATATTACCTGCTGATGGGAATCTGTTCTCTGGGCTCGTTACTTCAGGGAAGTGTCGATAATGTGGGCGGATGCCTAGGATTGCTGGATTTATTCCATCAGAATTGCGGAAGTCAGCTCCAGCTGTTGGCTGGAAAATTTGGACAGGGGAGGGAGGCGGAGATAGAAATGCTGAGAAGGGGAATTAGGGAGGAGAGAAGCAGGCATCGAATTTGCAGTGTTTCTGTATGCCTGTGGAGTGAGCCAGGGTGGAGAGCTGCTTTTACATCAAGGGCAGACAACAATAGACCCAATACACAGTACTCAAGTCAGGGCTTATCTTCTCTCAGTAGAGGGATCTATTCCTGATCTCTCCCACTTTTTAAAAGTTTCTTTTCCATTTTTTCCCCATTTTTTATTATATTGGAGGATTATCTTTTCCTGTTACCCATCTCTCCAACTTTAAACTTTGTTTTTAAATTTGTGTCTGAGGTGAAGGAATAAAAACAAAAGGTTTAAAGGGTATATGAGAAGCCATAGGCTTCAAAATCATTTGTATTTTATAAGCTTGTTGGTAACTGTTGTCACCGCTTCTATGCACAGGAATAGCTCTCCTAGCCTGATACACTTGTGCTGAGGAAGAATATGCCCAAAGTCCAGATGAAACCAGTTCTAAAAGTAGCAAAAATCAGAATTCTTAGAAATTTATGACAGCACATGAATCAATGCCATGGCACTGACAAACTCACATGTGACTTATTCGTTGCTAAACTCTGATGGTGGGATGGCTGGTGAACATTATCTGTCTCAATTACTAACATCCCTAACCGAGGTCCAGTCATATGAGCTTCTCCACATACTTCCCCCAATATCCAGGCATGTGACAGGTCATGAGCCACACTCCCAAACTCCATATTCTTCCATAAATGGGTGTGGGGGAAGAGGAAAAGAGGGTCCTTGGAACGGAACAGAAAGGATAATACATGGAATCTGGATCTAGTGTCTGGTGGATTACATAGACTCTCAAGCACACAGGCTTATGCCTATGCGTTTTAAGATTTGCTCATGAACTTAGAGGAAAACCAGGTCCAGATCTGAATAGTTTAAACTTCCCTGCCCTTAATTCCTTTTCTTCCAGAAGAGGTGGAGATGCTGAAAGAAGAAATCCAGATGTGCCCAACTCGTCTCCAGTCCCAATTCTCCCCTCTCACAGGACTTTGGCATTCCCCAACCCTACCCATGGTCAGCTGTCCCTAACTGCACTCAGAATGAGTCAGGATCAGGAGGACAACCAAGGAATACTGAGTGATCAGAGCCCTATGATTTCCCATTTCTGAAACTACAGACACATTGTGCTTTATGTATGTATGTTTGGAACTAAAGCTATGGATTCAACTATTCATGGTAGTCTGTTGTTTATGAGCTGCAAAGGAATAATAAAGCCGCAATCAAGATGACACCACACAAAGTTTACAAAAGGAAAAATATTTTGTTTTAAAATACTTGCTACATGTCATTATTTTTGCCACTGTAAGGCTCAGCACAGATGCCAGCAGTACAGAAATGGCCAACAAGAGAAAAACAACCAAAAATAAAACCCTGAAGGAAAAGCAGAAACAAAACCCCCAGAGCATCTTCTCCCTCCCTTTCCCAGCCCTCCCACAACGCCCTATAATAATTATACAATATTATAGTCTTGATCACATTTAAAAACAGGCGATTATTAAAAAACAAGGACTTTATTGGAAACTCAACATTTTGGTTTCTTAAATTGTGATATAAATATATATGTATACTGTATGTGTGCACATAGAATAAAAAAATAAACTGTCTCCTTTTCCACTCCAATACCTGGCACCAGACTGGAGGCAAAAGGGAGGGAAACTCCGTAATGACATTCTCTGAGCCTCTCCAAGGCCATCCGTGCTCCTCAGTCCCCTATGGCTACATTTAAAATGTCTTCTTTTCAGTCTTTCACTTACAATACTGGCCTGAGCCAATTAAAAAAAAAAAAAAAGGCTGATATATATAACTGTTACCTGAGGAAGGTAAAGTGATAATAGTAACCTGTATCCACATTTATATGGCTGTAGTTAATTACTAAGTGACCCTGTTGGGATGGGAGTCCAGGCCCCATCTATCACATGGATTTATTTTGCACTACAAAGCAAAATCCAGTCTCAAGACTGTGATGGAGCAAAGAGTCACAGGTCAGAAAAGACCTACAGCTCAGTTTCCTGCCAGACTGGATACTCTGAGAACGGGGTGAGAGGCTACTTTGCAAGAAGGCTGGTATTTGGTTCAAACTGCACCAGTGAGGGTTTGCACTGGGACTACTCATCCAAGAAGTTGAGTTTCCATGCAGAAATAACTTCCATGAAACACATATATGTCATTCTGACAAAAATGCAGCATTATCCTTATGGCCAAATATGGGGTTTCTGTAAGTTTTATCCTGCCAGCCTATTTCTGTAATCTTTGCACATATTCCATATAAGGTGAGAGCACCAGTTTTATTACTAAATATGTCTGATGACAGACCAATCCTATCAGCAGAAAATGTTATATATCTGCTTAGAGTTGCATACTGGCTGGGCACACATGTAAGTACAGCAAAGACATTTATTTAAATACTCTTTGGCTGCAATACTAAGTAGAAAATACCTGGAAGATTTAACTCCTAACTTAGGACTCTTTGAAAAACACAGAGAAAGACAAAGATAAAACTGGGACAAATTTTGCATAACTCCCTAATAGGGAGAAATACACACACACACACACACACACACACACACACACACTCTCTCTCTCTCTCTCTCTCTCTCTCTATTTCTTCACTCACATTTCTTTCCAGAGAAACTGCTCACAGGCAGCAGAAAGAACATATTCTCACTTTCTAAAGCCCCATATATACCTACCATGTTTCATGGTCCTCAAATATGAGGACATTTCTCCTCTCCCCGCCTTATTCAGAATTTCTTTCCAAAATCAAGCCACAGTACAAGGCAAACAGTGGACATCAAGTTCTCTAATCTGTCCCTTGACCCTAGCAGAAATCACCTCTGTACAAATTGCTGGTCAGGAGACATAAGGCAAAGCATTTTTAACTTCACCCAGCCTCAATTTTCAAACGGTCCACAAAACCTTGAGTGTTTACTCCATCTCATCTATAAATTATGTCAGAGAGGCAGGAGGGCAAGGGAAAGGCCGGAAGTGAAAGGGGGTACACAATAGGGGTGAGGGAAGGGAGGGGAGAGGAATTTTTATTCCGTTTACAGAAAGATTTGTTTTTTAAAAACAAATGGTAATTTTTCTTCCCCACCCCTTTATCCTCACCCCAATAGTTCTATTCTGAAAAGGAGGGAAACATAGTTAGGTCAGGAAATTCTTCATTGTTGTAGCTGTTGCCCTGGTCTCCCAACATGGACAGCATATCCTAGTAAGAGAAAAGTAAGTTTGGTCACACACCTTGATCCCTTACATTTATTAAGCTCCCTTCCAACATTCCCCTGAACCACCATTCCTGTCCCCAAAGAGTTTCTGCTGTGCTGAGTTCTCTCAGCTTTCCTCAATCTCAGCAACACTGACTCCTTTAGATGATGAACTTTTGTCCTAGTCCCTTCTCTGTCTTCCCCCAATAGTTCCACACATATTTCCCACTTTTCCAGTACTCAGTATTTTCAAAAGTGAAAAAATCTGCTTGTCACATTTCATATACCGCCTCCTTCCCCATAGATTAATTATTATTCTTATCCTCTTTGTTTTCTACCAAAACCTGTTTTGCCTTCTTTCAACTTATGTTTTAAACTAGCTCTTCCTTTGTATTGCCTAAGATTACTCCATTCAGCCTTGCAGTCCCCTCAGGATTAGGTAAACAGACCTTTATAACTATAATCAGTATGTTTATACTCAAGCTTTTGTGAAGTGGGGATGTGGCTCTCCTTGAATGGGCTATGATTACTTTCTTTGACATCTTTGCATGGGGCTACACATCACTAACTATGGTCTGGTTAAAGGCTGTACATCAAATTAAATTCATAATCTTTCCTATTAATGACAATTATCCCTACATTTCCCCACTGTCTTCTCCTACTCATACCCTAATACATGCATATTTCCTTTTCTGTCTCTCCTCTATTACCCTTTCTCTCCAAATTTCTGATTTTCTAAAGCCTTTTTCATCCTCTCACCTGGAAGACTTCAGGCTGGCCAGGTTGCGGTGCTGATGGCTGTTGAACATGTTGCTCATTAGAACTTGAACGATGATGAGGCTGCTGGCCCTGCCACTGTGGCCAGACTCCCACACCCTCTGCTGTCCGTGTCTGGAATTGTCCTGCAGTCTGTCCAGTCTCAGGAGCTAGCGAGGAAGAATAAACTTCAATCTACTAATTTCATTGGAGAGGAAAATCTAACACATAACTACATGCAAGTCATTAATTTTACCTAGAAACCTCTTGCCTTTCTGTCAATCAATGCCTCTTCTATTTCAAAACCCAAACCAATTTATTTTTCTTCTTTAAGAAGCTATTCCAAAGAATCCTTTGCTCATTTTAGAATAAATTTGCATATTAAATTAATAATATTTTACAGGCTTTTTGTTGTAGATCTTTTTCATGTGGGTAGATTTTATTTACTAGAGGCCTGATGCACAAAATTCATGCACAGGGAGTGGTGGTGATGGTGTGGTGGTATGTGTGTGTGTGCTCGCGCATGTGCATGTGTGGTGTGCATGTCCCCTCAGCCCAGGCTGCACCCTCTCATAGTTCTGGGAGTTCTTAGGGGATGTCCGACTGACGGTAGCTGTGAACCAGCTTCACTGATCGCCAGGGGCCAGCTCCTTCATTGAGCGTCTGCCCCCTGGTGGTCAGTGGGCATCATCACTGTTCTGTGGTTTGGGCAATTTGCATATTAGCCTTTTATTACGTAGGGTTTATTTCAGAGAGAAAGCAACAGGGAGAGATACATCAATAATGAGACAGAATCACTGATAGGCTGCCTCCTGCATGCCCCTCTGAGTAATGAGCCAACAACTCAGGTATGTGTCCTTGACAAGAATCAAACCTGGGACCCTTCAGTCTGCAGGCCAACACTCAATCTACTGAGCCAAACTGGCCAGGGCCATCTGGCTAGGTTTTAAATAGCAAATACCTTAAATTTACTCATAATTAGCTCAGTGCACAGCAAGCCATCTTAACCTCCAAATCCTTTCTCTTTAGTGCTGTGATTTTCCTTTTATCCATCTTCTGGACTGAACTCACCAAAGTTGGATCCACGACTGGTGAGAGTAGGGTAAGGAGCAGCACCAGGTGATGCAGTGGAAGCACCAG